TTCCCCCACCATTAGACAATAAATGCCCTGAGAGCAGGGCTGGTGTGCCTTGCACACAGTAGGTATTTTATAAATATTTGTTGAAATGAATCACTTTGGAACATCTGAAAATTAAAAATAATTCACGCGAGCACTAACCTGATTTTTCCTTCACACTAACGAGGTAAAAACTCTGTTAAACCAATTAATTATGAGGATGAGATGGAAGTGGTAGTATCAATGATTTAAAAGAAGAAAATTCTTCCAAGGTCTGGAACAACATCTATCAGCCTAGAACCATCAAAAGGTGGGCAAAAGGTCTATTCCAGGGTTGGGGAGCTTGCGGCCTCAAGGCCTTGTGTGACTCTCTAGGTCCTTAAGTGCAGCCCTTTTACCCAATCCAAACTTCACAGAACAAATCTCCCCAATAAAAGGATTTGTTCTGTAAAACTTGGACTCAGTCAAAAGGCCGCACCTGAGGACCTAGAAGGCCACAGGAGACCTCGAGGCTTGAAGCGGGTCCCCTAAAAGCCTCTCCTTGGTGAATCTTTGAAAACTACTCATCTGAATCTGTTACAAGCATGCTGGAAAATGATTTTTAAAAATTATGCTCCTTTCTAAAGTTTTGTAATTTCACTTCTCATGTGCCTCAGTGGGTTCTCCCTGATTCCAGTTACTCAGTCTTTAAAGTTTCTCTTCAAATGTATATAGTATTCTACTGCATTGGGAATTCCAGGCCCAGACCAATATTGTTTTTTCAGAAGGAGAATTTGACAACTGACAACTAGCAGCATTGTTTTCATTTCCAGGCAAGGCCAAAAAAAAAGAACACTCTCTGATTAGAGTAATGAACAATTTGAACTAAGACACAGCTCCCATCCACTCTCCTCCCTCAGAAGACAAAAACCCCCCCTTAGAACACTGGAAGGTGCCACACTAGACAAAGGCTGGGATTTTTATTGGTAATATAGCACTTTCTAATGTTACAATTGTAACACTAACTACTCTGGCTCCCACTGTCTGAAGGCCAGGTATGTTAGGGTTCTCCAGTACCCTGGGGTATCTAGACTCTGCCACGGCTTCTAGCATCCACATCCAATGGTGTGCCCTCAAGTAGAAGGAGGGCCTAACTCCAATTCATTTAACCCTTTAACAGTCAGATTAGCTTCTGCTTTTTTTTTGGGGGGGGCAATTGGGGTTAAGTGACTCACCCAGGGTCACACAGCTAGTAAGTGTCAAGTGTTTTGTGTGAGGCCAGATTTGAACTCCGGTCTTCCTGACTTCAGGGCTGGCGCTCAGATTAGCTTTTACAAAGAAATATTTACTTCAAAGATGTAATAAGTTATAGTAACCAGCTTAGTTCAGTTCCTATATAACACAATCCTAAATTCTATGTCCAAAGTCCCCTTGGGTTTGATTCCCAGACACCCTGGCTTCTCAGGGCTTTCCTGCTGGGCTGGCTGCTTGCAACATCCCACCCAGAATCTTGGCTCCAGGGTTGCTACGACAGGAGCTCCTGGTGTGGTGGGGATGACCGCCTATATCTTAAACAGGAAAAATGAAACAGAAGGTTAGACAGAGGGCACAGGGTGAGTTGAAGATGAAGGGGTGATATCTGGAGAATAAAATTAAGGGGTGAGAGAGGATTATACTAGGAGAAGGAGAAAGGGAGAGGCAGAATGGGGTACATTATCTCGCACAAAACAGACAAGAAAAGGTTCTTACAGTGGAGGGGAAACAGGGGAAGGGGAGAGGAAATGAGGGAATCTTATTCTCATAGGTTTTGGCTTAAGGAGGGAATAACATACACACTCAATTGGGTATGGAAATCTGTTTTATCCTACAGGAAAATAGGGGAGGAAGGGGACAAGAGAGCAGGGGGATGATAGAAAGAAGGGCAGATTGGGAAAGGGGTAATCAGAAGGAAGGACTTCTGAGGAGGGACAGGGTCAAAAGAAAGAATAGAATAAATGGGGGGGCAGGACAGGATGAAGGGAAATAGAGTTAGTTTTTCACAACATGTCTACTATGGACGTGTTTTGCATAACTGCACATGTATGGCCTGTATTGACTTGCTTGCATTTTTTTTTTAATATTTACTGTATTTTTATTTTGTTAACTTTTTCCCACTTACATTTTTTTTTCTTTACTTTTAGGCAATTGGGGTTAAGTGACTTGCCCAGGGTCACACAGCTAGTAAGTGTCAAGGGTTTGGTCTGAGGCCACATTTGAACTCAGGTCCTCCTGACTTCAGGGCTGGTGCTCTATCCACTGAGCCACCTAGCCGCCCCGAGTTGCTTGCCTTTTCAATGAGGGTGGATGGGGTGGGAGGAAGGGAGAAAATTTGGAACCCAAAGTTTTAAAAACACATGTTTAAAAAAATGTTTCCACATGCAACTGGGAAATAAGAAATACAGGAAATGAGGTACAGAAAGCGGGGGAGAGATAGAAGGGAGAGCAGACTAGGGGAAGGGGTATTCAGAATGCATGCCATCTTGGGGTGGGGGAGGGTCAAAATGGGGTGAAAATTTGGAATTCAAAATCTTGTGGAAGTAAATGTTGAAAACTAAAAATAAATAAATTTATATTTAAAAAAAAAAGAAAAAGAAAAGAAAAATGAAACAGACCAGAAACAAAAATACCCCAGCCCCATTTCTCAGAGTCAAAGGATAAAAGGAGAGAAGAAGAGGAAGGTATTCCCAGCTTCCCTATTCAGTTCATGGTGCCCACACTGTGGGTAAACTATATGTGATCTTTACCTGGTGGACTGTAGCAGGACAGAAGGTAAGACTGTCCCAGGCTGCCAGTTTGAAAAACAGCCAGTTCTGGCTACATAGCCAATTGAAGGAGGCCACTCCCCTGGCCTCGGTAGGTAAATTCGAGGAAGCAGAGTGCGTCCAGGGATCTAAGATAACTCCAAGAGACTCACGATGGAAAATGCTGTCCACATCCAGAGAAAGAGCTATGGAGTCTGAATGCTGCTCGAAGCATATGATTTGCTCTCTCTCTTTTTTGTTTCTTCTTTCTCGTGGTTCCTCCCATTGCTTCTAATGCTTCTTTACAACATGACTAATGTGAAAATAGTTCAATATGAATGTATGAGTAGAGCCTGTATCAGATTGCACTCCCCCTTGGGATGGGGGGAGGGGGGAGAGGGGGAGAAAATCTGGAGCTCAAAATCTTATGGAAGTGAATGTTGAAAACTAAAAATAAAAAAATTTTTTTAAGAAGAAGGAAAAAAAGAATGTGGGTTGCATGGTTCATCATCTGCCTTCTGGAATTATGGTTGGCCCTTACGTTGATCAGAGTTCTCAGTCACTTTGTCTTTCTGAGTTCAGGTTTCCTCCTCTTGTAAAATGAGGGAGTTGGGCTGGGTGGTCTCTAAGGCCCTTCTAGGGGTTCATCCATGTTCCTAAGAGCCGTGGCTAGACTAGAGAACTCTGGAAAAACTTTGGGGTCACAGGGTTGCAGCTGACTAGGCAAACAGGAATAGAATTTCTCTTCCATGTTTTAAGGCTTTTTCCTCTGCCGTTTCCCCGTCTGTCTGCACAATACCCAGCCGGCAATAGGGCGTGTTCAGTCTGCCAGAAGTTCATGGTCATGTTGATCTGTCTGTCACAAATCTGCTGTGGATAGCGGCAGCAGGACAGAAGGAACTCAGATGCCACTGTGTCTTTCTGTCCCTCTGTTTAGCTGCCAAAGTCCTCTTGTCAAGTAACGTCCATGTGTCTGGAAATCAGTGTCCTCTTTTCACTAACCATGAACAACTCAAGAGTCTGAAAGGGCAGAAAACGCTATGGCAGACTTTTAACAAAGGGGACAGAATGCTCCTCTTACATCTTCCCCCTTTGTGAAAATTTGTAGTCCATGAAAATTATATAAGGGTATACTGGTACCAGGAAGCAGCTAGGTGGCTCAGTGGATAGAGTGTTGGGCCTAGAGACAGGAAGACCTGAATTCAATTTTGGCCTCAGACATTTACTTTTTGTGTGACCCTGGGCAAATCACTTAACCTCTGTTTGCCTTTATCTACTGGAGAAGGAAATGGCAAACCACTCCAGTACCTTTAGTAAGAAAACCCCACGGACAGTCCACAGGGTCATGAAGAGTTGGGTATGACTGAACAACAGTAGCATATATTATTTATTTCTAGATTAGACTGATTACTTTGTAAAATAATGGGGTTGGAATCGAGGACTTCCAAGGTCCTTGCCAGCTCTAAATCTATGACTCTATGAAACAAGAGTCAAAGGCTAGACTCAAACCCAGGTTTTCTTGACCCTGAGGTATGAACATACATTTTAAAAAAACAGGATGCTGCTTCCCTAAGTGTCCAACATAAACATCATAAATGAGCACATAACAGTCATAGGAAATGATCCAAGCTACAGAGTAGAGCACGTAACATGTGCACACGTCTTAGCATTCAGGGCCAAGGAACTCAGCCAAAACTGTCCCCACCCTGTGGCTTGAGACTACATAGCGCGTGTGAGAATGCTGCATATGCTAAACCAGAAACATACATCTCATGTAACACGTGACATTTAGAATGACATTATAGGTGGCAACATGAATCAGACACATAGATCAGGTGAAAAACATGACACATGCATGTATAGCAATAACATGTTAGTATGCATAGTGACAAAGAATAATTCAACTGGAAAAGCATATGATAGAGCACAGATACCCTTTATAATGTGCACCATATGTGGCAGTCACATATAAAGCTCTGTTTCATGTCCTCCAGCAACAGATTTCATCTGGCTCCATGCTTTGGCATTCTCCATTGTTCCCAAAGCACCATAAGTTAACTCAATCATCATTGGCCAAAAAAGTCCTGGAACTTCTCATGTGACTTCTTGTCTTGTGGATGGCCCAGGTTGGCTATAGCTGTTTTTTTTTTCTTACAGCAGAAAAGTTTTATTAGGAGCAAAATGAGACACTAGTCCCGAAGCCTCCCCCCACCCCACCCCACCCCACCCCAGTACAAAGTACAAAGGAACCATAGCCCAGGAGAGGCTGGGGAGATTTATGCTTGAAAACCACAAAGGGGAGGATTGGGGAGGGGTCAGGAAAAAGAATGGCCAGTCTTCCCAGGAACAAGCTGGGCACAGAAGCAGGGTGTTTTGTTGGAACAGTTGACTGCAAGGATGGTTTAGGCCGGTTTGGGGTGCACAGCTCAGCAAGGTCAGCCAGGGAGCACCAGCAAAGGCATCTGGGAATGAGCAAGATTTGGCTCACTGCAGGCTCCTTTCAGCAAACAGACTTCCCCTGTTCTGAGTCCGGTGCTTCTGCCTCTTGTTTTGTGTCTAGATCTTCCAGTAGGGTCAGCGTATGGCCCTCCTGAAGGCTGGAGTACCTGCACACCAGGTAGATTTTCTCATTGTCTCCTCTACAGAAAAAGCTCAAGCATTCCTGATGCTTGGTGCACCATTCCTCTAGGATGGACTGGGTCTCCTTATGGAATGGCTTCAGCTGCTTGGCCATCTGTACCACATTCTGCATCTTCCAGTTGGTACAGAGGAGGCATGGAGGCTGGGATTCTTGAGGAAGGCAATCCTGGCAGAAGGTGTTGCTGGAATGCTCTGTTACAGGGTCACTGAAGAAGCCCCCACAGACTGGGCAGATCAGAAGGCCCTGCATGCCCTTGAACAGTCTCCATTCAGTCTTTGCTCCTACTTCACTGACGGGTGTCTCTGTTCTCCATGTCCCTTCAAAGGCTAAGTTTCTCAGCTTCTCTGCTGTGCTGCCTTTGCCAGGTTCTAGCTCCAGGAAGGTCTGCCTCTCAGGCTCTGGCTCCTCTGAAATTTGTATCAGCCTCTGACCAGTCCCCTGACCACAGAGATTCACACCTGTGGGAAGTATGAACTCTGGAAAATCACACCTTCCCAGACTCTCAGAGTTGGGTTCCTTATAGACCTTAGCTGAAACCCAAACCCCAGAACCAATACCACTCCAACCTCGCTCAGAAGGAGCAATCCAGCCTTTCCTTCAAGTCTTCCTGTGAACTAGACTCATTATCTCCTGAGACAATCTTTTCTGCTTTGGGGAACATCCCTTTTTAGAAAGTTTTCTCCATAGATTGAGTTTAAGTATCATTTTATCACCTCCAATCTTGCTTCTAATTGTCCCAATTAAAAAGAACAGTCCTATCCCTCTTTCTCATGATGGCCTGTATCCCATGGCCTATTAGGCTCTACCTTCTGGCTATAACTGTCTTGATGGAAAGTTAACCCTCCCCTCTCCTATGTCCCAACCTGGTGGGACATAGCTTCTTCATCTGAATCCTCATCTTCAGAGTTGTTATGAACTCTACAAATGATGAATGAGATCTCTAAGCTCACCTGGCTAGTTCCTATCTTTCTTTTCCTGTTCGCTAGGGAGTCCAGCTAACTTCCCAAAACCAATAGGGGGCTGTAATAGAAAGGAAGGAGCAAGCTTTATATGACGTTCAAGTTCACTGCCAAAAAACTCAGCCAAAGAAGGAAGATAATATCTGCATGCAGAGAAAGAACTGATAAATAGAAGTATGTATAGAATGATTTTATATATCAGTACATGTTTGTATCTAAGGGTTGCCGTCTCTACGGGGAGAAGGAAAAAAGGGGGAAAAAAAGTTCCATGATAACTTTATTATATCTTTAAAAGGAATAGCAAGTCATACATAACAGATTTGCAGTTTCATGTGCAATCATCTTTTTTCTACCCTACTATGTTATGGAAATTCTCATTTTATTTCTGAAGTTCAGAATAAAATTTAAAAAAAAAACCTTAATGTGTAGGGAACACATAGGATAGTGGAACAATGGAAAGCTATCCCATACCAAGTAGTGGAAATATTTGCCATTCTGTAAGATAGGCTTGGAGAAAGGTCAAAACTTCGTATGGTTCAATATATTGCAACTTCTCATTGCGTGTTGTGGATTACTTGGACTCCTCCTTAAGACTGATAGACAGATAGACAGATAGATAGATAGATAGATAAGATAGATTAATTGGGTGAGCATTTATTAAGTGTGAACTATGTGCCAGGTACTGTGCTAAGCATTAGGAGTACAAATACAAACAAGCATAATGACCATCAATTGGGAAATGGCTGAAGATGTTATGGTAGATGAATGGGATGGAATACTGTTGTGCTGTAAGAAACATAAAAGGTATGGTTTTAGAAAAACCTGGGAAGACTTGTATGAATTGATGTAATATGAAATGAACGGAACCAGGAGCACAATTTATGCAATAACAACGACACCGTAAAGGCAAACAACTTCAAAAGACTTAGGAGCTCTGATCAAGATGATAGAACAGCCACAGTTCCAAAGGATCCGTGATGAAACATGCTATCCACCTTGAGATAGAGAACTGATGGACACAGAATGCAGATTGAGTGGTACATGTATTGCATAAATGTTTATGTGTGTACATATCTAGTCATAAATGCATACATATAGATACGTACTATATACGTGGACATAGCTAAAAGCAGAAATTTGTTTTGCTTGACTAGACATACTTGTAATGGGTTTTGTTTTTCCCACTTTCTCGATAAGTATGGCAGGTGAAAGGGAGAGAATTTGGAACTGAAATGAAAATAAAAATGAATTAAAAAACAACAAATACAAGCAAACAGAACAGTACCTGTCCTCAAGGGGCTTATATTTTAGTCAGGGGGGCCTGAAGGCCATGTTGCGTATGCAGTTGGCAGTGTGGCATGGGGGAGAGATGCCTGGGAAGGATGTTAGAGGCCTGGTTATCAGAAAGATGAGACAAAAACTCACCGAGCGGAGCCAAGTGACCCAGGGGCAGAGTCCAAGGTCAGGAAGATGGAGCAGGAAGAAACAGGGGTGGAAAGTTAGCCAAATGGCTTTGAAAAGATCCCAGTAACCAGGGGCTGGGCTAGATAGCGGCTCTGAAAGAGGGGACTCCTATGAAGAAGAAGAGGAGGGTTGCTGTGAAGATGCACTGAGATAATGTTTGTAATGCTCTTTGCAAACCTTGGAGCTGTACTGATGCTAGCTATGAGCTATTAGCAATGGTTCATAACCTGGGGTCCACGAACTTGGATAAGAAGATGATCACACTTTTATTTTCACTAACCTCTACCTTAGCATTTCCTTCAACTGTGAATGTCAGCAACCGAGATTATTCTGGGAAAGAGTCCCTAAGCTTCACCAGTCTGCCAAATGGGTCCATGACACAAAAAGGTTTAAGAACCCTTGGTGTATCGGGTCAGACAACGTAGCCAAGGCTGTCAAGACCCACGGGGGCCCTCTGCCCAGACACGCTGGAGAAAGACACCAGAAAGGGGGGTAATGAGAGGAATAGCCTGGTGAGCGTCCAGTCCTTGGATCGTGCTCGGATTTGTCTTTCCTGGCTTCTGTCCGAGACACGGGGCTTGGTAAGAATTAATTATTCAAACCTTAGGGGAGGGTACAGTAGAGGGACGAAGTCTTCTCTTGGCTGAAGAGCCGGAAGGACTGGTGACACTAGTGAGACTGAGAGATGCTTCCAAGCCATCCCAGGTCCCACTGACAACCAGAACACTGGATGTGGCAGCAAAAGGAGCCAACTTTGGGGAAGGGCCAGTTCAGCAATAGTTAGACTTGAGCTGGTGTAATTTATCACGCAAGAGGCCATCCTAGGGGAGCAGTGAAATGACTTTCCCATCCCCACAGTCTCACTCTAAACTAAACTTGGTGGGGACTCTGAGAAGAGAGGGATGCATTCGTAGGTCCATGAGTCACAAGGGACTCCGCATATGTTTACCACCTGGGTGTCTCCCTGTATTTGGAGCCCACTTTTCCCAAGGACCTTGCGTGTAAGGGGAGAGTACGGCCTGCATTGTTGGGATTGTTTTCTAACTACTGTTCTTGCCAGACCTCCTCAGGAAATACTCTTTTGTAAAAACTGACACATGGTCAGATTATCCAGATTTCACATACCTACTCCAGAAAAATCCTGAAACTTGCGCCAGACTGAAGAATGATAAAGAAATCCAGTGAGAAACTACAGTAAGTGACTCACTCCATCCCAGAACTACACAGAAACTAACCAGAAGCACCTGAGCAACAAGAAAGGGTATCACCAGCAAACTAGCACCAGTCGAGGCAGTTAAGCCCACCACTTCCCAGTAAGACCAGAAATGAAGTCAGGAGGACCTGAGTTCAAATCCGACCTCAGACCAAAACACTTGACACTTATTAGCTGTGTGACCCCAGGCAAGTCACTGAACCCCAAATGCCTCACAAAAAAAAAAAGACCAGAAATGGACCAGAGACATAGGTAGCCCTCAGGGTTGGAGGTAGAAAGGGCAGAATAATAGGGGAAGGAGAACCTCACTGAGGGAGTTGAATAAGAAAGACAGAGGTGTTGGGGTTGGGTTGATTTTATTCTGAGGGTTTTAAGAAGAAAAAGAGAAGGGAGGATAAAAAGAATACATACATGTAGAAAGGAGGAAGAATGGGCTGATACTTGTTATTTTTTATAATTGTGTGAGAAGAGTATCTAATCATGGAAGAAGGAGTAGGGAGAACAGGGATCAGATGAACCTTGCCTCATCTGAAAAAAGACAAAGAAAGGTTAATCACATAAGTCTGATATAGAAATACACTAAATTCTACAGGGAAACAAGTAAGAATTGGGGGAGAAAAGGTAGAGTTGAGAATCATCAGCATAGAGATGGTAATTCAATCCATGGGAGCTGATGAAATCACCAAGTGAGATAAGAGAGTCTAGGACAGATCCTTGAGGGACACCTATAACCATAGTTTGTAGAGGGTGTGATCTGGAGGAGGATACAGCAAATGAGACAGAAGGAGAGGTCAGACCGATGGGGAAGAACCAGGAGAAAGCAGTGTCCCAAAAACCAAGAGAGAAAAGAAGGTCGAGAAGAGAGGGATCAATTGGGTCGAAAACTGCAAAGAGGTCAAGGAGAACGAGGATAGAGAAAAGGCCATTGAATTTGGCAATTCAAAGATCACTGGTAATTTTGAAGAGAGCAGTTTTGGTGGAATGATAAGGTTGGAAGCCAGATTGTAAGGGCTTGAGAAGACAGTGAGAGGGGGCAGCTAGGTGGCGCAATGGATAGAGCACCGGCCCTGAAGTCAGGAGGACCTGAGTTCAAATCTGGCCTCAGACCAAACACTTAACACTAGCTGTGTGAACCTGCACAAGTCACTTAACTCCAATTGCCTAAAAAAAAAAAAAAGACAGCGAAAGGAAAGCGAGGCACAACAGGCAGAAGAGACATAGGAGGATAGCAGGGATGGAGGGATCAAGTGAAGGGTTCTTCAGGATGGGGGAGACCTGGGCATGTTTGTAGGCAGTGGAAAACAGTCCAGTAGACAGGGAGAGATTGTAAATAAGTGAATGGGGATGACAGAGGGCAAAATCTGCTGGAGGAGATAGGATGGAATGGGAAGGCCTGGACAAGTAGAAGGGTTAGCCTTGATCAGGAGCAAGGGAGTCTGTTCACATGATACTGAAGTGAATGAGGAGTGGCTAAAGGCATCTGAGTGACAGGAGGTGAGGAAGAGGGGAGGAGAGGGAGCTCATGGTGAATGGTCTCAATTTTGTTCTATAAAACACTCTGCTGAGAGAGTGGGGAATGGGGAGCCATGGGAGGGATGGAAAGGTTTGGAAAAGCTGCTGTGGAGAGTGGGAGAGTGAGTTGATAAAAGAAGTGTGGTAGGATTACCTAGCAGAAGTGAGGGCCCAGAGGTTATTTAATGTAAATCTGTAGTGGTCCCAGACAGAGCTGTTGCATGATTTTCTCCACCTTTATCCAGCAGCACATGTATAGGTGTGAAGGTGATGATTGGTGGGAGTGATCCAAGGCTGAGGTTTGGCTGGGGTAATCACTGATATGATAAGGGGGAATAAGGATTCAAAAGAGGAAGACAGTGTAGAGCTGAATTGGCTCACGAAGGAGTCAAGATGAAGAGAAGAAGAGAGAGTGGCTAGTACAGGAGAGATGGCCTGGGAGAGAATTGAGGAGTCAAGGGATGAAATGTGGTGTTATATAAGGGGAAGGCAGAGAGAGAGAGACAGACAGACAGACAGACAGAGACAGACACACACACAGACAGAGAGACAGAGACAGAGAGAGACAGAGACAGACAGAGACAGACACACACACACAGAGAGAGAGAGAGAGAGAGATGAAATACCAATGCCAATAGATTATGGTTGGATAAGGGGATTTTAGAATTCTTGAACATGGAGGTGGTACTTATATGGATGATGGCAAAATCAAAGGTGTGACCAAGGCAAGTTGGTTGAGTAACTAAGTGGTTAGCCAGATTGAGGGAGAATTAATATGTATGTTGAAGTCCCCTAGTGTGAGGGCAGGAGTTAGGGAAGAGAGAAAGATTGTAAGCCACATATCAAACACATTGAGGAAAGAAGGAGTGACTTGAAGGGTCTGTAGACAATGTCTACCAGGATTTTGACTGCGTGGCAGATATGAACAACATGAACCTCAAAGGAAGAGAGTTTACTGAGCGGTAAAGAGGGGAAATCTGAAAGTGGCAATGGAGAGAGAAGGTGAAGCCAGTATTTCAAAGGATGGGCAGGGAGGGGGAGCCATCAGGAAAGCCAGGTTTCAGTAAGAGCTAGAAGGAAGCAGTGGGAGAAGAACAGATTTAAGATGAAGGGAAATTTGTTGCTTATGGAACAGGCATTTCAGAGGATACAGTGGAAGGTCTGAGTAGAGTTCAGATGAAACTCTGGGGTGGGAGGGTTGAGGAGGAGAACGAGGAATCCGGTGGTTGGGGGTGCAGTGGGGCTCAGATGGCAATCTACAGGAGTTCAGAGTCCCTGGGAAGTGAAGGATGCGACCAGGTGTGAGAATGTTTATCATTAAGTAGATGGCACCACTCCTCTACTGTCAAAGGACAGGTGCAGGGAGGCCTGAAGTTGAAGGCAGGGTTGGTCAGGATTGTTTAGTACATCTCCTTTTATAGATGGAGAAATCGAGTCCTAGTGAGGTGAAATGAGTAGTCCAACCACACTCAACCAAACTCTCCCTTGTAGCAAACAAGATCAGCTCAGCAAAACAAACTGGTATAGTTCTATGTCTGCTAGCACACGCATCCCTCCTCCTGCGAGTATACTCCACTTTTCAATGTGTTTCATCGTCAGTCCTCCAGAATTAAGATTGATCCTTGCACTGATCTCCTTTCTGATGTTCAAGGTTACTTTCCTTTATACTATAGTGGTCTCTGTGTATTGTTTTCTTGGTTCTGTTTCAAGTCATACAAATCTTCCAAACTTTCTCTGAATTCTTCACACTCATCTTTTGCTGTGGCCCAGCAGTTAGTATTCCATTCCATTCACATACCACCATTTGTTCAGGTATCACCCAACGAATTGTCTTCATGTTTCCTATGGATGGAGGGACAGTGCCTATTTGTTGGGGAAGGGAGCAAATAATCTGGTCAAGGAGATCCTTGTGCTTCTTTTAGGCAAAGAAACCTTTACTTTCTCCTTTCACCCAACTCTCAACAAAACTAGGATGGCACTTTTCCTACCCTGGGGAGGCTGGAGTTCTAACCCACCTCTTTCCTGGTGGTTGCCATAGAGACTAAGTTAAGTCCTTCTATTCTCTCCCAGTGCCAGGCACATCTCACCGATGCAGAAAAGACAGAAAACAAACTAACTCACTATGGAAGAGGCGTGTTTACAGCCAACAGGCCTTACAAAGGCCAACTAAGGGAAAGCCTGGACTGCCACCAGCCGAAGTCACGAATGATTGCCTACCGTTAGGCGGTTTGCCACTGAGGTGGTTGAAGGCAGCCTAGCTAGAGGTCCTTGGGATTCGCCCTTGGGAGGGGGATCTTCTGACGAAATGGGAGTCAGGGAGAAAAACAGCTGAATAACATAAAAGTGGGACCTAAAGGGATGGGAGTCTACTGGTCAGGCTCTTTGAAGAAGGGCTTCATTCTGGGTGTCTCCTTGTCTAACAGCCCCCACCTTCCCCTGGAAGGAAGGAAACAAGCATTTATTAAGCACTTACTGTATACTAGGCACTGGGCTAAGCACTTTACAAATATCATCTCATTTAATCCTCTCAGCAACCCCAAGGGGCACTATTAGTAGCCCTATTTTAGAGTTGTGGCAGTGGTGAAGTGACTTGCCCAGCATCACATAGCTAGTAAGAGTCTGAGGCTGGATTTGAACTCAGGTCTTCCTGCCTCTAGCTCTACAGCTCTATCCACTGTGCAGCCTAGCTGCTTCTCTAGAGAATGAATGGGCTGAGGAAAGGTGTAGGGCTCCTTCCTTGTGATGGGAAAGGTAGAATGGGACTTCCGAGGGAGAAAGCTGCTAGGCCATGATTTGTGGAGGAGGGCAGGAGAAGAAAATTCCTGTAAACCCAAGTAGACAAATATTTATAAAACTGGGACATTCTGTACCAGGCTCTGTGCTCCATACATGGCCTCCAAAGTAAAAACCAAACAGGGCCCTGCCCTCCAGGAGCATGCATTTTACTTTCAGAAGGGAAGGTGATAAGGAGTGGGAAGTGGAAGGATAGATGTGATGAATTTTGAGGTGTCAGAGCAGATGGAGGGATTACAGGGCAAGCGTTGCTGGGAGGCTTTGGTCATTTTTGTGTTTATTTTGTTTGCCTAGGTCTGGAAGGGCCATGGTTCTGTGAGGGGCCGGCTGGGTTGTAGAAGTTTTCTGGGAGTGGTGCTATTATGGGAAGCTGAGGTTTTAGAAGGTGCCTTTTGGGGATAGATGAGTTTATAAAAGGCTGGGTTTTGGAAGTTGATTTTGAGGGGCAATGTAATAGGGAGCTGGGGCTTGGGAGGTCATTTTTGCAAGGATTAGGTTATGGGAGGCCGGTATTTTGAGTTTTGGGGGCTCGTTATGTCATGGGGGGCTGGGTTATTTCATAACAGGGCAGGCTTTTGGAAGTTAACTTTTGAGGGCAAGACTATTTGGTGGGGGGTGGATTTGAGAATTTTGGGGGGCTGGTAACATAGGAGCTGGAGTTTTAGGAGACCCTTTTTGGGGTGAGGTTATTTTGTAAAAGGGGCTCGCTTTTGGTGGCTAATCTTGGGGTCTTTATAGAGGCTTGGGGTTTGGGAGGTCATTTCTGGAGAGATTCAGGTATTGAGGTTTTTTGGGGTGGCGATATTGGGGTTTTAGGAGGCACATTTGAGAGGGGTGAGTTTACAACATAAAGGAGCTGGATTTTGGAGGAAAATTGGAGGGCTGTGGAGGGGATGGAGTTAGGAAGCTATTTTTGGCGGGAGTCCTGGGGTTTTAAAAGTTTCGGGGTGACGTTATTTTAGGGGGCGGTTGGTTATTTTTGGCAGGTGACACGATTGGGGGGGGAGAGTTTGGGGGAGGGGGCGCCTGGCGGGAAGGGGGCGGGCAGATACCGCCGAGGGGAGGGAGCCTGGACTAGGCGGGAGCGCCGAGTTCCACCTCCTCCCCTTACAGCGGTCTTCCCGCCCACGGGACGATGGGAGGAGGGGACACGCTCCAACTGGGTCCACCCTCCGTCGGTCTCCATCCTCCGGAGCTGATTGGACAAGAGCGAGCCTTTCTCCGTCCCCAACCCACCCCCTCCTTCCCCTCCTGCTGGTTTGCCTCCCTTCCCCCCTCCCGCTCTGCTCCTCTGCCATTGGATAGAGATGCAATCATTCTCCCCCCCACTGCGGGAGCCCATTGGGCGGGCCGCCGCGATTGGCTCGCTGTGCGCCGGCGCACAGGGAGCAGGCCCACGGAGGGCGGGGCGTCGGCTGAGGTAGCGGCGGCCGTGGAGGAGGAGGCGGTGGGCACGGGGGGCTGGCTCGGGCGGGAGAGGCGGAGGCTGCGGCTGATGGGAGCGGGCCGGCCCGGGGCACCCATGGAGCACCAAGGTAGGGCCGCCGCCTCAGCCGGCGCCCCCGCGGGGCCGCCGGACTCCGCGTCGTCCTCGTCCGGAGAGCCGGGGCCCGGGGGGCGGGCTCTGGAGCCGTGGAAGCGGGAGCCCGCCCGCCGCCGGGCCAGCAGCACCTCGGCCGCCTCCTCGTTGTCCTCGCCCGCCGCGGCGGCCGTTGACAGCCAGTGCCAGGGAGCGGCGGGCGGCATGAACCGGGAGCGGCCGAGCTCCTACAGCGGCGCCACGCACGGCACCCGCCAGCGCCTGGAGAGCCTCAAGAAGAAACGGCCGCGTAAGTGACGCCCTGCTCTGCCCTGCCGGCCCCTGCCCTCAGGCCCCCTGCCTCCTCTAGACCCAGGCCGCCGTTTTTTTTTCCCGCGCGCGCGCCCCCGCCCCACTGCGGAGGCCGGCGGAGACGGGGCGCGCCCCCGCCCGCGTGCTCGCGCGTCCGGGTGCCTCGGGGCCGCGCGCCGGCGCGCGCCTCTTCTCCCTCCTCTGCTCGCCACGCCCCTCACGGGTCGCTCCGCCCACCCCCCCCCGCTCCCTCCTTTCCCCTCCCTCTGCTTGCCCCGCCCCCTCCCTCTTACCCCCTCCTCTGTTCTCCCCACACCCCTCTCCTCCTTCCCTCTCCTTTCCTCTCCCTCTCTCCCCCCGCCCACTCTCTCCCCTTCCCCTGCTCTCCCCACCCCCTCCTGTGCGCTTCCTGCCCCTCCCCCACCCAGCCCTCCTTCCCCCTCCCCCGCTTTCCCCGCCCCCTCCTTTCCTCTCCCTTCCCCCTTCCTCTCCTTCCTTCCCTTCCTTCCTCCCCCACCCCTTCCCTCTTTCCTCCTCCCCTGCTTTCCCCACCTTCTCTTTTTCCTCTCCCCTACGAAAAATCCCGAATCCCTTTACCTTTAGCTCCAGTTTCTGGGGGTCCCCGTTTTCTCCCCTCCTTTTCCGCTGCTAATCTCCAAAGTCACCTGGAGGGGTGGGGGTAAGGTGCATTTGTGTGGGGGGGGTGACCCAGGCAGTGCCTTGGCCGAGTTGGATGGGACTTAGGGGTCTTTAATTCAGTCCCAGCCTTGAGTCGCTCGTGCATCCTCCCCATATAGTTTTTTCTGGGGTGAAAGATCTGCCTGGACTTGAGAGCTGGGCTGGGAGCCCTCTCCATGAGGAGGGGAGCTGTGCGGGGGTCTCCAGGGCCTCAGCACCGGCGGAGGGCCTTGGGTAGCCTAGCCCTTGGTGCCCTTCGCCCCAGCTCCCCCGCCCCCCCCAGTCCATTGACCCTCGAGGTGGATCTCCTAGCGTTTCCCTAGATGATTGATTTCCATGGGATTAAAAATCCTTTCCTTAAGAAACGGACTTCCTCCCGGGTGGCGCTTGCCGTTTGAGCTGCTCCTGTTCTGAACTAGGAGAGACCATTTTTGCTCGCTAGAGTCCCTTAGCCTTTCTCAGCTGTCTCCTTTGAGATGTGGATCATGTTTCCCAGAGTTTTGTTAATGTTTCTCTCGAAGCCCGACGAATGCTTCTAATCTTGTGGATCCTGTACATCAGAGCCTCACTTACTTTTTCCCAGTAGACAAAGACCTATATCTTGAATACTGCATCCTGAACCCAAATGATTCTTCCCATAAGTCTGTTTTGTGATCTAGTTAGACATCGTTCCCCGACTCCCGATTCTTTAACCCAGGAGAAATTCTGTTTATATCTCTGCTTTGATGAAACTAGTTCTTAATTCAGATGTGGTATTTATATTTACAGTAAAAAGACATGGCCTCACAATGAGATTTTTTTTTCTTTTTCCTATAATTTCCATTACATGACACTAAATTTTCTTATTTTAAAATGATTAATTAGAAACTTAATATGTAATAGAAAAATGGCTAGTTAAACTTAATAACCACATTTAAATTAATTTCAGTGCATAAAACTTAACTTTTCAGTCGCTTAGTCGGGATTCTTTGTCCTGACCAAATTTTTGGTGCAGAATATGAGGGAGGAGTGAAAAGAGTCGTCAATATTTTATCTAAAGGTATTAATTTTATATGGTCTCCATGAGCTATAATTTTATCAAACATTAACATTTCATTTGATCTCCGAGGTTAGCTCTGTGAGTGTAGATCTATTTTGCATTGTAAAGTTGAATGTTTTTACTGCTAGTCTTTTTCCTTCCTTATCTTAATAATACAGATTCTGAAAGATAGAGTGAAGAACTATATTTACTCCAATTAGGTGATAAAAATAAAGTATTTCCTTAAAGATTCTGTAATGCTGTGGAGTCCTTCATCCATATGGAGAAGAAACAGCGTTACTGTAACTGGACTTGTGATTTAGAATGAGGACCTTCCAAGTGAGGAATTCTCTCTACTCCTGCAAATTGGCGGGGGGCAGATAGTATGTGACACGGTTGGGACTTGAACTCAGATCTTCCTGGCTTCTATGTTTGTTTGTGGGTATGGATTCTCAAGGACTTAGTTAAGAAGTAGTGTGGTGGCCCACTGTTTTGTGCCCATTTGCTTTGAAGTGGAACTGGACCCGTAGGTATTTGGACTTTGGTCAAACCCTGTAAGAATGTGGACATTTGTTTTCATAAGCAGGTTAGAATGTTTGGGGATTTGTGGGGTGACTTTAAAAAAGTGATTTTAGGAAGTGAGTTTATGCATATCTAATGCAGTAAATGCCTGCTGTCTATATTTGAAGTATTTGCTCTTGTGTGTGAGCATGACTTCCTAATCCCGCATGAAATTGAGGGAAGAAACTCACAGCTACTACACTACATGTATTCTAGAGAATGAGTTTTGGAGGATATGGTTATCAAGCTAGTGTTTCTTTCCAGCTAGATCAGGTGAGTCATGCTCAGGAGAGGAACAACCCTTTGTTTATTTCTTCAGATGTTCTTTCCTTACCTGAGTGATAAATCAGGTTACCTTGTTGGGCCGACACTAAACTGGAAGAAAACCATTTGTGCCATGTTGCTGTCCTTGCCTTACTTACTTGCCTAAAAGAATTGTTGACATTTGAAACTTTATAGAACTACATAATCATGTGTTGGAAGTGTGTGTGTGGGGGGGCGGTGGGGTTTGATACCAAATTTTATTTTGCTGGTTTTATTCTGTTGGATAAATGACTGGGAAATGTGTTAGATTTCCTTTGGTTGTTGATCTGTCATCCTCCCTCTTCTCATTGGTGTGTTTATATAAGGGTGAAATATGTGGCTTTTAATTTGCTGGCTCCTACCTCCTGCTTTAATGTTCAAGTTACCTGAATATGTAGTTGTTTTTTTTTCCCTGAATGAGTTAGCTTATCTTTCCCTTTAAATTGGGCCTTGCACTATTTTTTAACCTTTCTTTTCCCCCATGTTAAATAAGAAATGTTATTTGCTCAGGGAGTATGGTGTACCTTGCTACCCACTCCTGGTTTTTCACTAACTTTATGTTTTAAAGTTGTTGCTTAATCATCCTGGGTCTCAGTTTCCATCTGTAAAATGAATAGAGTATGTCTGAGGTACCGTCTAGCTCTAAAATCCTTTGAGTCTGATTCTGGACCATCAGCCATATATTATTTTAATTTTTTAAAATTTGCCTGCTTCTCCTTTGGTATCTTCTAGGTGCTTGGTAACTTTATTGCTGCCAGCTCTTCACTTAGTATTTATTAGCTGCTGTATATGCAGTAGGCATTATGGAATATTAATAAATATGGTTTCTGTCATACAAGTTTATAGTTCATTTGGAGAGAGAAAACTAATATATGTGAAATAGTTAGAACAGGTAAGTGCCTAAGTGAGTGACATAAACTTAGAAATGCTGAAGGAGTTTTGAGGAGTGGAGAGAGGGGCGTTCACCCAACTAGTCTGCACGGTATTCATGGAGAGGCTAGGACCAAAGCTGCCCCCATGAAGATGGGTAGTATTTCGATGTGGAAAGAGTAGCTAGGAAGAGCACACCAAAGAGAGGAGGACAGAAGGAACAAAGCACAGAGGAGGGACAGGCATGGTTTAGGTAGGGGATGATGATGAGACTAACGTTTTTCACTCTTCTCTGTGAGAATTTGTTAAAGCATACTGTGGGATAGGAGGTGCTTTCATGCCTTCTCACTGATAAAAATTAGCGTGCAAGAGTGTAAGTCTTTGCAGTGAATGAGAAGTGAGAGAAGAGTATGAGCTCACTTGGTACAGGGATAAGATTAGATATACTAGATAATTGAGGACTGAGGCAAACCTTTAAGGAGTTCTGATCTAGGAAAGCAGTGTGTGACTAGGGGTAGGATGGAAGCAGGAAGGCCCACGTGGCATAGAGATAGGAGTGCAGTCCAGGAGCTTAAGCTTCTATGGCCAAGCTTGTTGCAGTATGCCAATTCAGTTAATGACATGGTTTTTAAAATACTGCACTCCTTGAGATGGCTTTTAACTCTCTATCCTAGAAAATGAGCCTCAGAAATTTGATTTGAAGCTTGAACATACCAACTTAGTAGACCGTTGTTTTCTCATCTTGCTATTACTACAGAGCCAGGAATTGTGCCAAGTTATAACATATTGGTTGAATTGGGGCAAAGAGGAGCATGGTGAAGCATGGATATGTTGTGAGATGCCATGGTCCTTTGCATTCTGTTGCTATGCTCCATTTTAGTTGAAAACTCTAGCCAGCACTTGTGACAAAATGAGTGGAGCATTAAAGAGGCTTTGTTCTTTTAAGTGGGGTGTTTTGCCAGCTTTAAATGTACAGGAACCCAAAGCAAACATGGCCTGTCATCTTACAGAAATGAAATAGGAATATAAAACATTGACAGTATTTAAATATAGTCAAAAGGAAAGTGAATTATGCAGTGGTAAAATGGTACAGTGTATTGTATTTTAGGGTCTTCAGTGGTCTGCATATGAATCATGCGTTCGGGTAATAATATGGTTCCATGTTTCAGTATTTCTGCCCTCTTGTTTATCTGGAGAGAGGACAAGCAAAAAGAACTGTATATTATGTTATCAAAAACTTCTTACTTAAACCTAAATTATAGAGAAAAGAGGAAAAAAAACCTAATTCAATACTATAGGCAGTCAAAAAAGGGGAGGGCAGGAGGGATTTCCCAAATTGGCTCTCTGAATAGCAGTGAAGATATTTAAAGCTTTAATCCAGAGTCTCTCAGGATTCATAACTTGATGTCTCCTTATCCTTGTATAGTAATTGTCTTTTTGAGTCTTAGGGAGCATTTTTTGCTTCACATGCTTTTATGCTGGTAATTGGAACAGTTAAGATGTATACTCTGAAAAACTCATTGCATTGTTTTTTTTAATGGTGTTATACTGTGCTTCTTTTTCCCAACAAAAGCTTTATTGGAGACTGATGTTATACCACATGCAGTGTTGTATAAACGTTGATTTCTTGATTTACTACCCTTTTTGTGGAAGCGGAAATAATCGTCTCTCATTATTTGGTTACATTGTATATTGCATATTGAAGCTTAATGGTAATATATATGGATTATACCTTTTCCCTAAGGTTGGTAGATATGCTTTTAAAAATACTGGGGACATGAACTCAGTATCAGTATGATGAATTGTATACTTTCCATTGAGAAACAATTTGGAATATAAGGGCCTTAGTTCATTTAAGAAAACTTAGCTGTTCCAAAGGGAAAATTCTAGTGGAAAGAAACACTAAAATTCTACAAAAATTAATGGAAGGGCAGCTATGATACTTAATAAGTTAAAAGGAAATCTTTCAGGGAGATAAAAGTGTGAAGATTAATTGTTTTTATTTTATAGTTTTGCAGCTAACAGCATATCAAGGACAATTACGACAGCTTTGGCTTAGATTTTGGAGATATGAATAATAGATTTATTAATGGTGTTTTGACTTAACTTTATAAAGCAAACAATAGTTGTAATATTTCTTGAGCCCTTTGATGAAACATTAGGAAATAATAGAACTATAAGTTACATAGAATAAATTTTAACCATCAAGAAACTTCGTTCCTAATAGACCTTTCACTGTGTCATTCATTTCTTGTGAGGATGAACAGCCTGACCTATTGTCAGGATCAGAAACCATGAAAAGGCATATATAGTAACTTGTTTATTATCCATCCTTTTCCCTTCAGTATCTTTTTTCTTTGATACTGAAGTATTTCTACTTTAGTTTTTCTGAGAAATTCCACACATGAAACTATTTTGATCTTTCATTTGTCAAAAGCTAGGGTGCAGATGTTTCTGAATTCTCAGGTATATGTAGGTAGCCATTTTCAAACAATAAAGAAATCTAACAAGTTCTAGAAATGTATGTATTTTAAAGTTTTACAGACTTAGAAACTTAAGGTAGGAGGAATTAGTTTGATTGATGTAACTAACAGATATGGGAGGTCCCCAAAATGACAGTGCAGTTTTAAGCTATTAAAGCATAAAATGGTTATAGGACATCTTGTATTATTAAACAGACATTACATGTTGGCGGTAAATAGCATTCAGATTTTTAGATCCATTTGTATAGGGACACACTCTTGATGTTTTTCTTTTGTCAGGTGAGTAAAATTCTGGAATTTTAGCAAGGGTGAGTTTTAATAATGCTAAATCTCTAGTCTTCCATTTTACATATATGAATAAACATCCAGTCATGAAAGGGAACCCTAGATAGAGCTTTTTCCACATTTCATATATCCATGTGATGGCTGCAGAACATACATTTTTAAAAATACATATTAGTTATATTCTTTTTTACTGCAGGGTGGGAGAACTGATTTTAAAGGTGAATAACTCCTAAAATGATCTTAAGTCTAAAGGAATGCAAGTTGGGACCCAAACCCTTTCTACCATTTAGAAATGATTTAACTTTCCTATTAGTTCTCACTTTCATACAAATTTCATTTTGTATGGCAACTTTCTTTTGCATTGTAACTAAAATAATTACCAATTTCTCAGTTAAATTGTGAGGTCAAGTAAGAATTTTTTTTTCTTGAACCATGTTAATGGAGTATTTTGGAGAGATTGTATAGCAGATTTTGTTTTGTGGTATGAATTTGGCTAGATTTTGAGGGAGTTTCAGAGGATGGGAGAAGAAAATAGCAAAACTTTTGTATCTTCCTTATAAGTTGATAAATAAAACAACAGTATGTCATTTAGTTCATTGTTAACCTTTTTATATGTAATATTAGTGTAAGATCCTTGAGTTGAAGGGAACAATTTCACTTTTGTTTTCTCTCCCGGCACATAGTAGGTGCTTAATGAATGTTTGTTGATTGATTGATTTGTATTTTAATAATGCTGCCATCACCTCTGTTTACATGATCCTTTGTGGCAATGCTGCATTGCCTATGAAGGTAATTTTGTTCTGATTCGATGATCAGTGGGGCTTTAATGAGGCAGATTGGTGACATGGTGGATAAGAGTGCCAGGCCTCGAGTCAGGAAGAGTCGAGTTCGAACTTGGCCTTAGACACTCTATCTGTGTGACCCTCAGCATGTCTCATAAACCTCTATTTGCTTCAGTTTCCTCATCTGTAAAATGAGGCTAATAGCTCCCAGGGTTGTTGTGAGGATCAAATGAGATAATATTTGTAAAGCACTTAGCACAGTTCCTGGCACTTAGGAAGAGCTATATAAATTAGTTGTTTTTATTATCTGAGCAATGAGAGTGAGGCCAAAGTGTTGTGTAGCCTTGGAGGAACACAGGGAAGATGTGTGGTGTGTTACTTTTGGCTGATTCTTTTCCGTATTCACTGTTTTCCAAGTATATTCTTTGCATGTAGTGGAAAGTGTGCTAGATTTGGCATAAGGGACCTGGGTTGTATTCACAGGTCTGCTCCTTACTACATCAGATGTTTCTGGGTTTAGTTTCCTCATCTGTAAAATGATCTCTTCCAGCTTTAAATCTTCTGTCCTGTGAATTATAGATGCTGGCAGCTTTCTCCATACTTTTCTTTTCCGAGTCTTCGTACTCAACTTTGAAATCCTCTCTTTAGGTAAACTGAGCCTGCACAATCAAAATTCAATTCCTATTGTTAGTAAATTTTTGCTTAGACTCTGCAGACTTAAGCCATGGCATTTTTGACATCTTCTGGTCACCTGAGAGGACAATTCAACGCACTAGAACTTAATTTAGTACTACCCTTACTCCCCATTAGTTTGTGGTTAAACTAGAACTATATAGATCTTCCCTTAGACTGATAGGGAGGGACAATAGTTAATGTACTAAATCCATTTTCCCAAATGTTTATATTTGTGATTTGTTATTTTAGATATGTTATAGAAACTGTTTGACTATGAAATGTAACGTTGTTTAAATCATCCTATTAGAGGTATAGAGAGTGCTAGTTTTAGTTGCTAAATTTATATTTATTTATTTGTTTGTTTGTTTTTGGTGAGGCAATTGAGGTTAAGTGATTTGCCCAGAGTCACACAGCTAGTGAGTGTTAGGTGTCTGAGATTAGAGTTGAACTCAGGTCCCCAAGTTTCTAAATTTGATCTTTGTGCTAGATTTATTTGCTTTTTTATGTGATTCTGAGATCTCATTTCAGCATGAGCTTTTCCTTATGCTCTGAAATGAGTTTCTGTTTAGTTGTTTTTAGACCCAGTCCTGATGGATAAATTTTAACCGTCTTACTCAGAATCACAGTATCTTCTTGACTGTTAAAAGTTAATTAAGGCAATAGTTAGAGAAAAGCTGCCTTCGAGATGACTTTTTAAAGTCTACATTCTGTTCGATTTGAATATGACTTTTTGAATTTGATGTTTTCTTGATTTGCCAATTAAGTATGAAAATGAAAGGAACTATACAATTTAGATGTAAAAATATGGATAGTTCAAGAGGTTCCATTTAATGAAGTGTTTTAAGTTTTGACCTTTTTTCAATAGTGCATTCACCAAATAGTGCCTATACTAAGAGTATAATAAGTATAATAAGACTATTCTTCACAATTGTGTTGAAAATAAGGCAATTAAAATTTTTGCAATCCACAGTCCCCTTGTAAACTGCAGGGAGTGAACAGAGATTGCTTAGTTTAACTGGTAGGAAGGAATTACAGTTTATCGTTGGTTATTGCAGCTGCAGAAAAAATAAGAATTTTTTTCTTTTTTTCCCTTTTATTTCCCATTTAGTCTTTCCGTGGTTTGGCTTGGATATTGGTGGAACCCTGGTCAAGCTGGTTTATTTCGAACCCAAAGATATCACTGCTGAAGAAGAAGAAGAGGAAGTGGAAAGTCTTAAAAGCATTAGGAAATACCTAACCTCAAATGAGGCATATGGGTCCACAGGCATTCGGGATGTCCACCTTGAATTGAAGGATCTGACCTTGTGTGGACGTAAAGGCAATCTACACTTTATACGTTTTCCTACTCATGACATGCCTGCTTTTATTCAAATGGGCAGAGATAAAAACTTCTCAAGTCTCCACACTGTGTTTTGTGCCACTGGAGGTGGAGCATACAAATTTGAGCAGGATTTTCTTACAGTATGCATTCTTTTAGCTTATATACGATTTATAGTTTTATAATTTGTTTTAAAATAGTACTGGAGGTAATGGTGGAAGCAGTTCCATCTGCTTAATTAGTTTTAAGTCCTAGTCTTCTAAATTTAGCTTTTTTTCCGAGTCAGGTTCAAATTAAAATTTGATTTGGCAATAAACCAATAGCAAAAGTAGGACTGTTAAATAAATGCAGCTTTTTGGCTTCCTGTTCATGTATGATGGCAAGAATCAGAGCCATTAAAGTATAGGTCTCTATGTGGTGAACATATGAAAAATTAAACAGGGAAAGAAATACTTGAAAAGCCGTTTTCAAAGCTAGACCATGTATCTCAATCGATAATCTGTACTGCCCAAGTTATTTGTAGAATTGTTACCAAATGACTCAATGTTATTTAAAAAAGTCTATAGAAAACAGGCAAATATTAATTGAAAAAGGGCAAATATTGCCTGTGTCTTCAAACAAACAAGTATCTTAATAACTTTAGCCTACTCAGCCTCACCTAAATCCCGTGTTAAAAAGAATGTGGCAAACTTAATTATCTTTTAAACATCTTTTCCATTTTTAAGCCTTGAAGCTAATGTCCTTGTAAGTTACAGAGTGCAGACAAACAAAAAGGGATTTATATGCCCTTCCTTTTTGGTTCATTGAACACTGTGCATGTAAATACTGGGCTAGACCAGTGTTTGTCAGTGAGTGAGGTTGGGCATGTTAGTCTTTCTAGACCATAAGGACTTATTTTTGTTTTGTTCTCTGTTACCTGGGTGAAGAGAGAAAGAGAGAGAGAGAGAGAGAGAGAATGTGTGTGTGTGTGTGTGTGTGTGTGTGTGAGAGAGAGAGAGAGAGAGAGAGAGAGAGAAAGAGAGATTGGAAGATAGAATAAATAGAATCAGGAGATCTAGATTTTAGGTGTTTCGTGATTTTATTCAGACTTGGTCACCTTACCTGTAAAATGAGAGGATTGGACTGGATGGTTTCTAAGGACCTTCTAAGGCCCCCAGTATTCTAATTCTATAGAAAACATATGTAATGGAGGTTAGCAATGAGAAGATGAATGATTTGAGGAGGTGGATGAGATACCTGTTCTTCCCTTGCTCTTACATTCTCCCTGAAAAGCAAAAAATTTTTGGGTTGAATTGGCATATTGGTCTAAAACTTTTGAGCTTTTCTAGAGGAGAAATAAAGACTCAAAATGGAGACTGTAATTATCTCTGAATTTCCTTCTAATATGTTACAGTGATGATAATAGGTGACATTCACGGAACACTTTATATACCTGGAGGCAGCTGTGCTGTAGTGGATGATGTACCAAGGGCTTGGAGTCAAGACAACCAGAGTTCAAATCCAACCTCAGATACATATGGCCCTGGGGAAGTCATTTTATTTCTGGCTGCCTCACTTTCCTCATCTGTAAGATGGGGATCATAATAGCATATTCCCCCCTCTCCCCAAGGGTTTTTTGTGAGGTTCCAATGAGATGATATTTGTAAAGTGCTTAGCGTATTACCTGGAACATTTCAGGGGCTTAATAAATGTTTGTTTCTTTCTATCTTTTTCTCACTGAACCTGACAGCACTGTGGGCTGGGGACTATGGGGATTTTCTTTATTTTACAGGTAAGGAAAAGAGACTTCAAGAAGGGAAGGGACTTGGACCTTAGGCTCTGAGCCTGAGGCTCTGCTGTTTGAGTCCAGTTCTCTTTCTGTTGTCCTCCTCTGCCTCTTACAGACATTATGCATGTCAGCACTGGTCTCCTGTAGGGCAGGTGCTGGTAAGGACCCATTCATGCCCATAAGTGTGAAAATACAGCAAAGCAGAGTCATTTTTTTTGTAGTTGTGCCTTGAAAGGCTAAAACATAGACTTTTCGTTCAAGAAAAACCAGCATAAGTGTGTTTCAAAGTGCTTTGAATTATAAGGACACAAAGAAGCATCCGAAGTGGTGACATGTCTTAAAAAGAGGAGTATTTTTGTTTTCCTTTGGCAAGGAGATTAGTCTGTCTGATTACTTATGGCATCTGTAAAAGTCATTAGGGCCTACTTTTAATTAACCGTCATTCTGAGTCACCTAAGGGTAGTAAAATGGTTTACCTTGACATTTTAATCTCTACCATTACTGGTAAAAAGTGATTTGTGATTTTAGCTGTCCAACATTGAACCTTATGAATTATTTCTCTTTTTCTTTAAAAGCTAAAATGGTGAATCCTAAATTAAATTGCCTTTGAATTACATAGTTCCCAATTCCCCCTCCCCCCATGTAGTGACCCTTAGAGGTCCTCCTATCCCTTCTTTCAGTTGTTAGAATCCCATTAATGCCTCTAAAGTGGTTTTTTTTTCTTGTTTGTTTTATAACGTCATGAATACTTAGTGCTTGAGTGTTGGACTGTTAAACTGAAAGGTGATAATGAAGAGGGCAAATGTCACATGCTTGCCCTAACCCTGTTTTTCTTTCAAGGAACTTCTAAGATAACATTCATCACAGTTTGTTATGTGGCTGTCCAAATCATCTGGAAAATTACAAAAAACTCAGTTATCTGGAAAGGGTAGTCTACATAGAGCGAGCCCCACAGGGATTCATCCTGGGACTGATTTTATTTGGAACAAATATGTCTCATTTTACACAGTAGCTGTATTCCTGAAAAATTGTGGGGAAATCAGATTTGTCATTCAAAAACTGTAGAGTGTTCCAGAAGTCTTTGTGCAGTTAACTGTGCAAAGATTTTTGGGACGTATCCTGTATAGTAGTAAATGTGAAGAGGTAATAATAGAGTATGAAACCTTGTCTAATGCAGTAAAGGAACTTGAGGCTCATCACCAGAAGGTTAGATGAAAGACTGAAGTTTTTGACCATCTACTGAGGTGTGATACTCAACTTATGAAGTTGTGGGTCTTCTGAATTGTTAATGGAAAGGGAGTTAGATATTTAATACAATGTTGTGGCAATTTTTTAAAATGTAGATTCTATAGATAAATCCTCATATACATTTTGTGTAAATAGAGATGTTTGCATACCATTTTGAGTTTACTCAGTAGGGTGATGTGCCTATTCTCAGTAACTTGGATTAGTGAATTCAAAGTGTAAGTCATTCACCTGACTGCAGAATGATCCAGAATAGTATTGGTTTGTCAGAAATAGAAGGAACTTCAGTAGAGGTAAGTACAAGGCAGAAAACACTTCAGGACACCAAACAACCTTGAAAGGTAAAAAGTAGGGAAAGACTGGGTAGACACAATATGGCAGAAAAGTCATAATGGAGAGAGTTAAAGCAGAATGAGAGTTAGTCAAGTAATCTCTGAGCAGTGGAATGTTTGCTCTTTGGCAGTTAAGAATTCAGCTTAAAAAAAAAGTCTGAAGTATTATTGAGGGGTCAAAAAACAATGACTCTATAGGTCCTAGTGAAGTATAGTTAGTTGGTTTTGGTCTAGCAAAGAATATGAAGAAATATAAAAAGTCACTGATTAAGTTTTCCATCTCCATAAACAGTAATAAAGGTGTTAAGACATCAACAAAATGGATTTCTGTCAAGTATAAGAAAAAACTTCAAGTGTTTAATTAGTTGTCAGGAACTATGGAACCATAGGAAGTTTGACAGGACAAATGACCAATCATTTATCTTAGGATGTTCTGAAGGTAGTAGGTTATCTGTGATTTTTTCCTGAGGCATTTGTTGAAGTAGCATAGTAATGACAACAATAAAACATTTTCCCCATAAACCTTGAGCTCACTCCCACAAATAGACATATCCTCTCTGTGAAGAAGGGACATGTATAAGGATCATGTGTGAGGCAGGGAACAGTCATAGAAGAAGAGGAAGGCAGTTTGTGCCTCAGATCCCGAAGAGCTGCCTGTGTCTTCTGGTGGTGTTACTGCATTGACTCGGCCTCAGCTGGTCTCCAGCTCTTCATCTCTTTTCAGGCGCCTCAACTTCTGTCCGTCATCCCCAGAGGAGTGTCATACCTTAAGTGTGCTTCTCCTTGCCTGGCAGAGTTGTTAGCTCATGACTAGGGGACCAGTCCTCTCAGCCAGCTTACTCAAAGGCAATGGATCCATAGGCCAAGTTCACGTCTCCTCAAATTGTCTTATTGCATCCTCTGATTTCCTTAATTCAGCTCTTGTCTGGCTTAGGCCTGAGGACCACTTTAGTCGGTTCTTCTTTCACTTGTTAGTTTTGCACCTCTGTTGAAAATGCTTTTGGGTATATGTCTTTTAAACTGGGAAACATTTTGTTTAGATGATTAGAAATAAACTAAGTATCAGCAGGCTACATTCCTAACCTTTGAGGATGATTTCACCGTATTAAACTTCACTATACTTTAGCTGGCCATTGGTCTCTGCCCTTTTCAGTGAAAATATACTAACCTGAATAGACCCTTGGTCTGAAGTATGTGGAATTTAGTTATTCTGTTATAAATGCAATTATTTGTGGGTATTCTTTAGTAGACATGTTGCTTTAGTAATTTTTAAAATGTATTTTTCATATGAGGGAATTACTTGTTTTCTACTTGGCCACTTGATAAAGACACATTTGTTTTTGGCTGAAGAAAAACAGCTTAACAGACCTGCCTGAGCTGTCACTTGCAGAATATATTTAGGTGTGCAGAATGTTTAGGTTTCATCATACTGCCTAGTCTGTTCCCTTCCCCAAACAGATTGCCCTTTCTCTTCTATGAAACATCCATAAGTAACACACTTTCATGACTAGTCTTGGTGTCAGTGTGGGGGCAGGGGAGGAACTCTTGTTGAAAGAATTTGACTTTACCTTTAGCATTTAAAAAATCTGGCTAATTTTTTAATTTTATTACAGATAGGTGATCTTCAGCTTTGCAAACTTGATGAACTAGACTGCTTAATTAAAGGAATTTTATACATTGATTCTGTTGGATTTAATGGACGGTCACAGTGCTATTACTTTGAAAATCCAGCTGATGCTGAAAAATGTCAGAAGTTACCCTTCAATCTGAAAAATCCATATCCTCTTCTTCTGGTGAACATCGGCTCTGGGGTTAGCATCTTGGCAGTATATTCCAAAGATAATTATAAACGTGTTACTGGTACCAGGGTAAGGTCCATTAATAAAGACAGTCATCAACATAATGTTAACTCAGTTTTTAAGGTGCTGAAAAGTATGCTTTCGAGAACATTTTAAATTATTTTATCATATAATAGTTTCTTTTTTTTGTTGATCCCGAACTTTTTCCTTTAATTTTCTTAAAAGTTCAGAGTTCCCATTCATTCTTTTGACACTCTTCTTTTGTCCGAGTCTGAGATGATGCGCACATTGTGAGATTGTTCAGTTTGCAAAATGTGTAGTAGGTCGGTGTGCCAGCTGGAACACTTGCTCCTTCTTTACTTGTTGGCATGGATGAGTAAGTGGTGAGCATGGAGATGAATTGTCTTAAACATTAACATTTTTGTGTGGTTTGCTCTTAGATGTGACTGGCATTTCTGTTTCTGAATTCTTGGGATAAACGGAGGTGTGGGGGTTCATGATACCTATCTTGGGGAGGGGGAAGGTGTTTTTAGTTATATAAAGAAGTTCTTATTCTATTTCAGCCTTCAGTCTATACTTCAGCTTGAAGTATAGAGAGAATGATGCAATGTGTAATGTTCTTTTGTTTTGTTTTGTTTTGTTTTTTAATGAAAGCCTTGGGGGAGGAACTTTTTTTGGTCTTTGCTGTCTTCTGACTGGCTGCACCACTTTTGAAGAGGCTCTTGAAATGGCGTCTCGTGGAGATAGTACCAAGGTGGATAAACTAGTACGAGACATCTATGGAGGGGACTACGAGAGATTTTCATTGCCAGGCTGGGCTGTGGCCTCTAGGTAAGATTGGGTGTGGGGGGAGATGGGGACCCCAAAATAGTTGGGAATAAAATATTTTCATGTCAGCTTTGTGACTAGTTTTAAGTACTTGAAAATGTGACCATATAGCACTTCTTTAAATACAAATTTTAGATAATTTTTCTGGTATGTGATTATATCATAGATTATGGTTTCATTGTCTTTCCAGTGTTGAATTTGTATTACCCTGGTTATAGTTGTCCACTCTACCTTTTCTAGTACCATGATCATTGTAGGTACCTCCTCCTCATTCCTTTGTAGAGGTAGGAGGTTCCCATAACATTGTATGTTTTCAGATTTTCAGTATATTAATTGGTTTGGCTCTCATTGTTTCTTTTCATTTTTTTGTCTTTTTCTCTTGAATAAAACATTTTTTGTTATTGGCTAGGTCTCAGGGAAGGGGAAGAATACTAGAGGAAATTTAGATGATGTGAAAATATATCAATAAAAATTCACTTTAAAAATACATATAATAAAGGAAAAAGAGTTGCAAATATAACACTTGCTATAATTCCTCTGAGGTTTTCAGAGAAAGCTGATTGTTTAAATACCTTGACTTTAAGGAGTTCCAGAAGTATTGACTAGAAACCATGATTCTCCTGTGTTCATTAAACCTTCTTTATGGAAATGAGGGAATAGACATTTTTGCTTCTTTCTGGCCAGCAGGTTTGTGTTACATATCTTGCTGTAACAATCCAAATGGAAAAGCTTCAAGTGGTTCAGGGCTGTGAATCTTCTTCTCGGACCTTGCCTGAGGAGGCCTAATGAACTTCAGTGGATTGAGATGATAAGCAAAGAAAAGGCTCAGTTGAATATCTTGATTTTTCTATTGCTGATCATTAAAATTCCAGTGCAACCATATTATATAGCTGCCTATTTGTTTAGAATACCTTCATATTCTAGTTAACAGAAATATTTTTCTTTGGCTATTTTCCCTATAGTTTTAAAATAAAAATTTTATTTCTTTCAAAATTGAGTTTGACTGTACTAAGTTTCAAATACCTTTTGCACTGCCTTGTTTTTCCCCTCATATGGTGCTGGGTTTTCAATATTCTCATTATAGTTTTGGAAACATGGTGAGCAAGGAAAAAAGAGAGGCCGTCAGCAAAGAGGACCTGGCCAGAGCAACTTTAATCACCATTACCAACAACATTGGCTCAATAGCACGAATGTGTGCTCTTAATGAGGTAATAAAAAAACCTAACCTCTTTATTATGCTTTGGGAAAGAAAGAAGGCTTCCCACATGCTGTGGGGCATTTTTCAGGTTCTGGCATTAATGAGAATGAAAGTGACATTTAGGAGAAGGGGGAGGGAGAAGGAAGAAGTCGTCAGGTGCTCTGGGTGTTGGGGGCGGGCTGGCAGTGGGGGAGTGACAGTGAAGTGGGAAGGTAACAACCTGTCATGAGGTGGGGGAGGAAGGGGAGCGTGGAAACTGGGTAGATCACCCCTGGGAGACTCTGGATGGCCGCTCTCTCTTGGTGCTTTCAGCTTCTTTACAGTGCTGCCCTTGTTGCATTGATGTCAAGCAGCATTGTACAGGGCTATGAAAGAACCAAGACGGATCTTCACTTCCTTTGGGCAGTAGTAGTGTTCTGTAGCTTAACATCGAAGAAAGATTTAGTCTTTTAGGGTGTGCCTCCTACATTTGAGAATTCTGTTTGTAGTCAACATTTAGTAATCTGATCATGGGTGGGTTTGGAATCAGGAAGACCTGGGTTTGAATTCCAAGACATACTAGCTGTGTGACCATGGGTGAGTCACTTAAACCATCCCAGTTTATCGTCTGTTAAATGGGGGTGATACCTGTAGTATCCACCTCACAGGGCTGTTGTAAGGATCAGAAAACCTTAGAATGCTCCATATGTGTCATACATTAGCTTATTTTTCCAAACGGGGCAAGTTGTGAGAGGGTAGAGGAGAGACCAGTGTTCTGACAGCTTGTTGATAATGAATCTGTCACTCGGAGCCAGGTCTCATCTTACTAGCCGTACCTATTCCTCCTAGATTGTGCTAAGGCAGAACATATCTGGGTAGATGAGAAGAGGTTTCGGTGATCATGATGTGAGTCAGATCAGGGGAGAGCTGTACTTAAAAAAGGCAATGATAACTCCACTGTGGGGGTAGGAGGGTGGAAAGTAGAGGAGTGATGACCAGCTTGAGTCAAAGCAGGGAAAGTCTTTCTTGTTGGCACCTTGGCTTTCTCTACTTCTTTCCTGTATTTTAATACTTCTTCTGTCTAGGCCTTCTGGCTATTCAAGAATCCCTGTTACGCAGCTTCACTCAGGCCTTTTTCCTGTCTTCGTAGTGCTGTGTGTTCCAAAACTGACTTTGTGTTGTTCTGTCTGCTCCCGTAGGCCTTGAGAGTTTCCATTCCTTTAGTGCTTGATATGAGGAAAGCAGTCTGATGATGTAACTGCATTATTGAATGGGACTGACGGTGCTACTTTTTCAGTATCCTGCTCTTTGGCTTGCTAACCCCTGTTCTCTGTTTTTCTTCCAATTGATAGTTTTTAATAGCTGTAGGCTTTAATTAAAATCCTACGTGGGACAGCTGGGTGGCGCAGTGGAGAGAGTACTGGCGCTGGAGTCAGGAGGACCTGAGTTCAAATTTGGCCTCAGACACTTAACACTTACTAGCTGTGTGACCCTGGACAGGTCACTTAATGCCATTGCCTAACGCTGTGCGCGTGGACACTCCCCCCCCCCCCAAAAGTCCTACATGCAAATTTTCGTTTATCTTAGAGGGAGATATCATTTGTCACCTTATTTTCTTAATGAGCCCTAGATGTCCTAATGTCTCCTTTGGGGACAGGTTTAGTGATCCATTTTCTTTTAATCAAGGACTGAAAAGAGGGTACCTGAAACCCCGTTGTTCCTGAGAGTTCCTGGTTGACGGGAATGCCCACTTCCTAATATTGGGAACTAAGAAGTTTGGCACGCAACTCCTGAAATTGGGTTGGTTTAAGACCAGAGTGTATCCTGGCTCAGTCTTTTAACCTCAAACTTAAATTTGGGGAAGGGGGAACAGAGCAATCACTATCTCTATTCTCTGCCCTTTCTGTTCTGCTTTCTCTCCTTTTCTAGACCTTCCCCTTCTAGCCAGTTTTAGAAATCCTTGCTTTGACAGTGTATTAACTTCATTTTTGTAAACGACTTGATACGCTGCACAGTGACAGTTATGTATCCCATTAAGATGTAGCAGATGAACGATGTCAATTTTATTTCAGTAATTTGGCTGTTTTGGTATACTCTTGACTACATAGTTTGCTCATATAATATAATCTTTCTTGCTTACAATTTTAAAATTAAAGTTAAAATTAGAAGTGAATAAAGGAAGTTTGGACCCAGGTATTTACTAACATCATGGATTTTTACAATTGGAAGATACCTTAAAGGAGATTTTCACATCCACCTCAAATTCCCTTTCCCTCCCCCGCCCCCCCCCCAGGTGAAGAAAGTGAGGAGAGGTGTCTTGCCTGAAGAGTGTATGTTAAGGTGAAAACTTAGATGAGCCCTGGACAGAGTGTCTGCTAGTTTACTTGTTCACTTCAGAAGCAGCTGTCATACTTGGTCAACATCAGGTTAGGCTCAGAGTCCCTGTTGTCTTCCCATTGGTTTTTCATTATGCTGTTGAACTCCAAGCAGTGTCGCTTGTTGTATGTAGACAGTCTTTGCCTTCTTGAAATTATTGAGTCCATTGCACACACACGTGACGGAAGACCCCTGTAAAGGACTAGCTTATGTGCTGTGTGTGCTCCGCATGGCTAATATTCAACTGTTGGCTGTTTCCTCACATAAGCTTTGAGAGACTAATGTCATACACATATATTAAGATGGATCCGTGATCTTATCAGTTGGGGAGTCAAGTCCACAAGCATTTATTAAGTGTTTACTATATTATAATAATAGTAACATTCATATAGAGCTTTACTGTGTGCTAAGCACTTTACAATTATTACCTCATTTGATCTTCACAGCAACCTTGGGAGTTAGGTGTTATTATCATCTTCATTTTATGAATGAGGTTAAATGACTTGCTCACTAAATGTCTGAGGTTGGATTCGAACTCAGATTTTCCTGATTTCAGGCCCAGAACTTTATCTACTGTGCCACCTAAATACAAGCTAAAAAGCAAGACAATCACTGTCCTTATATTCTAATGGGGGAAGATATTTCTATATTTTTTCTAACTATGCAGATCACAGTCTAATCCATGCTTTTGCCCATCCTGGGCATGTCCTTCCATAACTTCACTACATACAGGGTATCAACTTAGTGGACTGAAGGCCTTCCTTTCCTGCTCCAGTAGAGCTTTCTGCCAGTTCACCTGTCCTTCCTGATCTTGCCGTGTGAATTTTGCTTTGGGTGCTCCGGGCAAGGAACACATTTGGTGTTTCTCATTGGCTACGCGTTGCAGCCTACCATAAGTCAGCAAGCGTTTGTTAAGTGCGTACTCAGTACTGTGCTGGTTTCTGGGAGTATGAATCCGATGAATGACACGTTTTCTATTTAATGGGTTTTATCTTTAACCCGAGTGTACCTCTCCATCGCCCTCTACGTGATACTTATTTTTTACATTTCATTAAGAGTAGAAAAGTAGATTAGAGGAATGAATTAGATAAGCAAACAGACATAGCAGTCAAGTGTTTGATAACCCCAAGAACTCTGTCCACCAGGCAAGGGAATCTATTTGGTAAAAACAGGGAGAGAGCAAATAAGCTTGGACCAGTATCTTTTGCCATATGTTGCAACAAATTCCAAATGGATAATACCCTAAATATTATACGTCATACCAAAATAAAATTAGAGAATGGGAGATTATAACTTTGACAGCTGTGGATAAGGAAAGAATTTGTAACCAGTTAAAGGATAGGGTTTATGAAAATTTCTTTATTTGTACAAAATCTTTTAAATTTATAAAATCATTGATGGGAAGTGCTGGTTCCAGCCACTCTGCTGCGAATGTTCTCTCTACAAAGCAAGGACTTTGACATGTAAGGATCTCCTGGCTTCAAATGCTGTGATCCCTAATAAGCCAAGACCCTTTTTCACTGGAAGAATCAATCCTTCCTGATGATGGAGACTGTTAGATAAAATGAATTGGGGAGGCAGTTTTGCTATTTTACTTTTGTTGTCGTGTGTTTTTGGACAAGTTGCTTTTCAGTTTTAGTGACTGCTAACCTAGCGGTGTTTAGTTTTGGGAGTGTGTGGCTCTGTCTGTGAAATAGGATGCCCTCCCCCTCCACGCATCTTTTCACTTTGGAACCTGAGAAGTAGACATTTTTAAAAAAGGATGAGGACCGTGTATTTGAGAATATCCCGGATGTGACTTCATGAGACCTTCTCACTTATATCAAAATATTTATGAAAGACAGGTGCTTTGAATTCCATTTTAAGGGTTACCGAGGTGGCGGAGTGGGTGGAGCACTGGCCCTGCAGTCGAGAGGACCTGAGTTGAAATCAGTTCCTCAGATACTGAGTGGCTGTGTCAACCCTGGACAAGTCACTCAACCCTGATTGCCTCCACCACCACCAAACAAACCCATTGCATATCAGTGTGTTTCTTCTTTCCTTCTAGCATGAATTGAAATTTGCTTATTTTAATTTTTTATTTTTTTAAAGTAGTATAAGAACTCAGAGAGGTATCTAAGATAATTTAGTCTGACACCCTTTGTTTTTATAGATAAGGGAGAGGAGATAGAGATTCCTACCTGGAAATTTGGGTATACCATATTAGACAAGGCTACTTTATGCAGAGATATCTTTCCGCATTTCTGGCATGCTGTGAAATATGGGGGCTTCGAACTGGGAAAGCCTCAAATATAGAAGCTCATAAACAGTAACATCAGCCTGGCTCTTTAAAATTCTTTTAACTCCCCCCCCCCAAAAAAAAGGTTACCTGATTAAATAGATGACAAAAAAAATGCTGTTTGGGTGTGGTTTTTAAAATGGTATGGAAATCATGTTGAAACCTAACTGCCTTTTTTTAATGTGCTCAGAACATTAACCAGGTGGTATTTGTTGGAAATTTTTTGCGAATTAATACCATTTCCATGAGACTTCTTGCATATGCTTTGGATTATTGGTCCAAGGGGCAGTTGAAAGCACTTTTTTCAGAGCATGAGGTAAGCCTATTCAAAAAAATATTAATAAACTAAAGTGCATGCCTAATATTTTTCTTTTTTA